CCCTTTTTTTTAATTCATAAAGAATTAATTTTTTTTTAATTATGAAAGAATGCATGGTGGTTGGCTTACAGGGAATTAAAATCAACAAAGGGGGTGGGTTTGCATCAAGGAGTAATACACATAAGTGTCACACTGAAGCCTGGCCAGTCATGAAACTGGTTTTCAAAGCCTCTCTGATGCGCAGTGCACCTTGCTGTGCTCTTCTAATCACTCTGGTGTCTGGCTGCTCAAAATTGGACACCAGGTGATTTGCCTCAATCTCCCACCCCGCCATAAACGTCTCCCCCTTACTCTCATAGATATTATGGAGAACACAGCAAGCAGCAATAACAATGGGAATGTTGGCTGCGCAGAGGTCTGGCCTAGTCAGCAAACAGCACCAGCAAGCCTTTAAATGTCCAAAGGCGCATTCTACCACCATTCTGCACTTGCTCAGCCTATAGAATCATAGAATATCAGGGTTGGAAGGGACCTCAGGAGGTCATCTAGTCCAACCCCCTGCTAAAAGCAGGACCAATCCCCAACTAAATCACCCCAGCCAGGGCTTTGTCAAGCCTGACCTTAAAAACTTCTAAGGAAGGAGATTCCACCACCTCCCTAGGTAACGCATTCCAGTGTTTCACCACCCTCCTAGTGAAAAAGTTTTTCCTAATATCCAACTTAAACCTCCCCCACTGCAACTTGAGGCCATTACTCCTCATTCTGTCATCTGCTACCACTGAGAACAGTCTAGATCCACCCTCTTTGGAACCCCCTTTCAGGTAGTTGAAAGCAGCTATCAAATCCCCCCTCATTCTTCTTTTCCGTAGACTAAACAATCCCAGTTCCCTCAGCCTTTCCTCATAAGTCATGTGTTCCAGTCCCCTAATCACTTTTGTTGCCCTCCGCTGGACATTTTCCAATTTTTCCACATCCTTCTTGTAGTGCGGGGCCCAAAACTGGACATAGTACTCCAGATGAGGCCTCACCAATGTTGAATAGAGGGGAACGATCACGTCTCTCGATCTGCTGGCAATGCCCCTACTTATACATCCCAAAATGCCATTGGCCTTCTTGGTAACAACGGCACACTGTTGACAACAACATGGAGAAATTTGCTATTGAGACTGAGCTCATTTACAAGAGCAGAAGCGCAGAATTGCAGCGGAAGCGGTGGATGATGACAGTTCGCAGTCGTACTGCACCGTCTGCTGACAGCAGCACCCAGGACACAACAGCAGCAGTGACGGTGAGCTGAGCTGAGTGGGCTCCATGCTTGCCGTGTTATGGCATCTGCATGGAAAAAAGGCACAAAACGATTGTCTGCTGTTGCTTTCATGGAGGGAGGGGCAACTGATGACATGTACCCAAAACCTCCCACGACAATGTTTTTGCACCATCAGGCATTGGAGCTTAACCCAGAATTTTAGTGGGCGGTGGAGACTGCAGGAACTGTGGGATAGCTACCCACAGTGCACCACTCCATATGTCGATGCTAGCCACGGTAGTGAGGACACACTCCTCCGACATAATGCGCTTAGTGTGGACATACGTAATCGCCTGTATAAAATCGATTTCTAAAAATCCACTTCTATAAAAATCAACCTAATTTCATAGTGTAGACATACCCTTAGTTTTCCCCCACACACCATCTCACTGTCATATGACTCCCTCCTTCTCACTGGCCCACTGGATCCCAGTCCCAGTCTCCTTGTCCAATCAGTCCTAGTCCCACTTCCTGGCTCCTCATCCAATCTCAGTCTCCCCACACCCACAGAATCCCAGCCCTCCCTATTTTCTTCTCTGATGTTCAGTCCCAGTCTTCTTGCCCAGCCAGTCCCAATTTCTCTCCACAACTCCCAATCCCAGTTCCCCTCTCCACCATCTCTACCAGCTTCCAATCCCAATCTACTCCCCTGCTCCAGGTCTGGCTGTTGTCCCCACTGCATTTGAATAAGGCAGCTTCCTTCTCTATATTATCTTAGCCCAGCAAGGGATACACTGACAGCACAGAAGGGACAGGTTCCCTGCTCTCAGTTCCAGTGCATGGCCCAAGCCTGCAGCTGCACAGAACTAACATTTTTCAAATATTTATAATGTGGCCAAAATAAAGCCTTCATACACGACTTCAACATCTTTACAGAGAAAGAATCTGACCCATCAAGAGAACTGACTACTAATTTAACAACTACAACAACACTACACAGAAAACACTTTATAAAACTGAATATAGGAGTCTTATGATTACATGTCACACTTTGTTCTTCAAGTTTATTTTATAATTACAATGGCACTGACTCTGAGAACTTTAAAGCCTGATGTTTAATAATAAAAATATTATGAAATGAAGAGACACTAAAGACAAAATATAATGGCCATAAAAGCAAAGAGAAAACCTAGAGATTCCAATGAATATGAAGTGAAAGCTGAATTAAAAAAACTAAAACCAAATACAGTAATAAACTGAAGCAAAAATGGCATCTAAGAATCAGACCTGGGACTCACCGTTGAAAACAAACATTTAAAAAATAAATCAATGAAAAGAGAGAGAATGTAAAAATGCAAACTGATACAACAGTAATTTAAAATGAATGGAACTGAACTAAAATTACTCTGTTGTTGCAGTAAAAAGAACAGCACAGCACCATGGAAATTAGATCCCAAAACTGTTGTATATCTAGTTTAGTTTGCCTCAAATAGTCTGGCTTTACATCTTTGCCTTCTATTGAGTGTTTTAAAAGACCAAAATTTCATAATTTCTAGTTGTGTATATAGAACTATTTTGATATTTCTGTAGATGAAGATTTTTTGTAAGGCTCTTAATTCAGTCTCTCCTATAGTGATATTTTTATTTTGTAATCCAACGAATATGCTTAAAGTGCAGTTCTACCTAAAAATAAATTTCTATAAATATCATGGTTTTAAGTTAAGTCTGATGTCAGACATGACCTGAAATCTACAGGACTCATCATCTGAATATCTGCTGACAAGAACCATAGCTCTGCCACTTACTTGGCTCCTAACCAAATCAGCCACATTGAGTTCTGTTGAAGGGATGGGCCTGAAACCCAAACACAACTCTTCAAGTGGCTCCACAGATGAAGATGCCTGTAGCTTAAAGCGACCTATTTTTAAACCAAAAATTGCCTGTTCTGGTTATGAAAGTGGATATCATGGCTTCTGGAGGTAGTAACCCACTCTTTCTCCCCTGTATATCAGTTGGGTATAAATTCCTTCCTCCTCTCTCTCTCTCTCTCTAATCTGTATGATGAAATCATTAAACAGCTGGGATTTATACAGGCAAATTTTACAACCTTTTAAAATTTACTTGGACAGTAAGATATAAGTCAGGTTTGATAACTGAATATGTTTACATTGGTGGACAAGAATAATGTGTCCATTATAACTTTTGGACATGTATTATGCGGTTTTTCATTTCTGCTACTTAATTTGTCCTCTTTCTGAGCTTCTCAAGTAGTTGTTTTTTATGACTAACTGTTGAACTTTAGAACACTGATATAAAAGAAAATTTAAAAAGCAATTACTTTTTTTAATGCTATTGGCTCAATTTTTTAGTTACTGTTCCTTCACATTGCCTTTCAGAGGACCTTTAGCCATATGCTTCCTGGACCCATAATGATGTCTCCTCTTCTGGGACCTTGGCAAGATCTCTGGCACTGAAGATCCCTCTACATTTCCTTTTTCTTATCCTTGTGCATGAGGACAGCTGAGAACAGTACTAATGTATTGTCAAAGTGAAGACCCACTTGAGATTTTGGAAACAATGCTGGAGTTAAGCCCACATCAATATCTTCATGCTGCTTCTTTGGAGCCAGGAAAGATCCTGGCACTGTACTGAAGGAGTTCCTGCACCAGCTTATTCCAACAAACAAGGCTCTTCTATGTCAAAAAAGTGTCTGTCATTGACACATCAGTAAGGATTAGCTTTGCACTAGGTTTCTTCAGCACTTGGGAAGTCCTCATTATGAACAAAGGGACAGCACCAATAGGTTTTTTTACAAGTCAGTGCTGGCCCTAGCACCAATGAGCTGTCAGCACAACTAAGCTCACATCTCAGAACTGGCATTTTTCATGATAAAGTGACCTCAGTTCCAGTCACATACTTAGGAACTACAGGCAGTGAACCCAACCCTGTACAGATTTCTTCCATGCACAGGTTGTTGCTGATTTGCCTGGCTTTGAAATAAACGACCACCTGCCTTTCACAGCTATAGACAGTGGATCCAAACGTAGATTCAAAGGCCAAACTAATAAGGCCTCCTTGTTGAGAAAGGTTTGGTGCCTCCATTGCATATCACTCTAGGCCCAAAGGTAGAAGACTCTGCACAGTGAGCAGTCATATGGACTCTTTCCCCCAGGGACAATAAACAGTGGCTGCATGAGTCTGCTTCAGGGAACACGGAAGAGCACAACACATCACTTAAATCTGTGTGTTATCCAGATTCTTGGAAGCTGGATTGGCCACAACTAACCAGTGGTAGGCCTTTCAATTCAAATATTAAAATAAAGTGTGCAACAGTGCAGAGTTCCCAAAATATGCTAAATAAAGTAGAAAAAGGAGAAAACAAGAAAAATAAGGAGAATTTTAAGGTAAAACAGAAATTGCTCCAGGTACAGAAGAACAATCACAATACCTCTCAGCTTCCAGCGTTCACTGGTTCAACACGGCACTGATGCAGCTCCATTGAGCATGCATTTCTTTCCAGAAGGTTTGAAAAGGTCAGCAGTACCAGGTGGGAATATGCAGCAGTCCCATGAAGTACTGTAAGACGCTATATTATTACTCCTCATAAACAAAGTTACATTACTGTATCACAATAATGAACAAATTCCATTATATCAAACATATTTTCAATTTACTCAAAATAAATACTTTTACTTGTGCTATTACAGGAAACCTTAACGTACAAACACACAAAAGATCCAGAATTTCATGTACTTTTCGGTTTAAAATATATTTGTTTTATTTATTTGGTTGTTTATAAATATTCAAAACTCACTTTGTTGTTCCAAGATTTAGCATCTTCCTGTATCTCTTCTTTTTGCTTTACTAACTCTTCAAGATGTCTTTCTTCCTTAATAATCTTCTCCTCTGTTTCTTTTAACTTGATACACAATTCAGTCCAAAGAAATTCTGAGTGTTTTAAATCATTCCTAATAGAAACACGAGAATAATCTCATTCATTCATTTGGAAGTGTTCCAACATCACCTGTCTCCATAAAGGAGAATGTAAAGCAGATTTGAATCAGTAAAGATTTATTTTGGTTCTCTCTGTTGCCTAAGTCACTCAAATACTTATATATGAATGGATTTTGAAATATCTACCCTGACATCATCATCTGCCAGAAGCTCGGGCTGGAAAACCCAGGATGGATCACTTGAAACTGCCCTGTTATATTCATTCCCTCTGAAGCATCTGGCACTGGGCACTGTCAGATGACCAGGTACTGGGCTAGAGGGACCATTAGTCTGACACAGTATGATTGTTTTTTGTTCTTATTCCAGTATGTCTTTAAAGTTATTCATTTATACTTAAAGATTCAAAACATAGAGAATCCCTCTAGGCAAAACCTTATGTTACAAAAAAGACACACGGACAGGAATAGTCATTCTATTCAGCACAGTTCTTTTCTCAGCCATTTAAAGAAACCATAATCTAACACATACCTAGCTAGATTACTTACTAAAGTTCTAAGACTCCATTCCTGGTCTATCCCCAGCAAAAGCAGCATACAGACAGACACAGACCCTTTGTTTCTCTCCCTCCTCCCAGCTTTTGAAAGTATCTTGTCTTCTCATTGGTCATTTTGGTCAGGTGCCAGCGAGGTTACCTTTAGCTTCTTAACCCTTTACAGGTGAGAGGATTTTTCCTCTGGCCAGGAGGGATTTTAAAGGGGTTTACCCTTCCCTTTATATTTATGACAGTATGTCTGCAATCTGCCTTCTACTCAGAAACAAGACACACGTGATGAGCCTCCCACAAAGGTACTATGCATAACCATTATGAAAACACTACTCGCCTTGTGCAGTAACTGCAGTTCTTCGAGATGTGCGCCACTATGAGTACTCCATTCTAGGTGTCTTTACATCCCTGCACCTCAGATTGGAGATTTTTGGTAGATGTTTGGCCCGCACATGAGCTCTCCTTATCTCGCACTGCATTCTGTTTCTATATAGCACTGTACAGGCAAACTTCCCTCTGTTTCTTCTCTATCACAGAGCTCATATATAAAAGCTCCGAAGTAGAGGGGAGGAGGATAGGTAGCGGAGCACCCATAGGGGAACACATCTCGAAGAACTGCAGTTACTGCACAAGATAAGTAACCTCTTCTTCTCTGAGTAGTGTCCTTATCATAGAATCATAGAATATCAGGGTTTGAAGGGACCTCAGGAGGTCATCTAGTCCAACCCCCTGCTCAAAAGCAGGACCCATCCCCAATTAAATTATCCCAGACAGGGCTTTGTCAAGCCTGACCTTAAAAACTTCTAAGGAAGGAGATTCCACCACCTCCCTAGGCAACGCATTCCAGTGTTTCACCACCCTCCTAGTGAAAAAGTTTTTCCTAATATCCAACCTAAACCTCCCCCACTGCAACTTGAGACCATTACTCCTTGTCCTGTCCTCTTCCACCACTGAGAATAGTCTAGAACCATCCTCTCTGGAACCACCTCTCAGGTAGTTGAAAGCAGCTATCAAATCCCCCCTCATTCTTCTCTTCTGCAGACTAAACAATCCCAGTTCCCTCAGCCTCTCCTCATAAGTCATGTGTTCCAGACCCCTAATCATTTTTGTTGCCATTCGCTGGACTCTTTCCAATTTATCCACATCCTTCTTGTAGTGTGGGGCCCAAAACTGGACACAGTACTCCAGATGAGGCCTCACCAATGTCGAATAGAGGGGGACGATCACGTCCCTCCATCTGCTCGCTATGCCCCTACTTATACATCCCAAAATGCCCTTGGCCTTCTTGGCAACAAGGGCACACTGCTGACTCATATCCAGCGTCTCGTCCACTGTCACCCCTAGGTCCTTTTCCGCAGAACTGCTGCCTAGCCATTCGGTCCCTAATCTGTAGCTGTGCTCCCTCTAAGTGACTCTATAGCAGTGCTCCTGCTGGAAGGATGGGGCTTCGGAGCAGAGTACAGTATGGATGACAATACTGTCAAGCCAAATATCACATCTGATGCGAAAGCAAGGGTGATTGAATCATGTTCTGCAAATGTCTGAACAGACGCCCAAGCTGCTGCGCTGCATATTTTTGTGACCAGAGGAAGGCCATGGAAGTGGACAGAGAGCCTGTAGAATGCGTTCAGGCTCCCGAAGGGTTGTAGCAGTTGCAAAAGCAGTTGGCAATGCAGTCCAATATCCATCTAGAAAGTCTTTGCTTAGAGACTGGGGATCCCTTAGATCTGTCTGCAATGGAGAGGAATAGTCTTGGAGATTTTCTGAAAGGTTTGGTCCTTTCAAAGTAAAAGGCTAACACTCTTCTGATGTCAAGTGTGCAGAGTGTTGCCTCCTTTTTATCCTGGTGCAATTTGGGAAAGAATGCTGGAAGGTGAATAGGTTGATTTATGTGGAAGACTGCAAGTATTTTTGGAAGGAATTTGAGGTGTGATCACAATGTGACATTATTTTTGAAGAAAATCTTAAAGGGGGAGAGGGTACGCCATTAGGGCCCCTATCTCTCCCACTCTCTGAGCACGTAATGGCCACTAGGAACATGGTTTTCATAGAGAGGTGTAGGAGTGAGTAAGTTGCCATTGGTTCAGTGGGAAACTTTGTAAGACAGCTCAAGATCTGGTTATGGTCCAATGATGGTATAGGATCTCTGATTTGGGGTAGAGGTTTCTCATGCCTTTAAGAAATCTTTTTGTTGTAGGATGAGCGAACACCGAATGACCCTCTACCTTCTGGTGCAATGGTTGTGAGGTGTACCTTCACTGAGCTTTGAGATAGCCCAGATTTCTTTAATTCTAGGAAGTAAAGAGGAGGATGCAGAGGTAATTTGTCTTGCATCACACCAGAGTTGGAACCTCTTCCATTTTTGAATGGATGTTTGATGAGTTATTTTCCTGCTATGTAACAGTACTTCCTTCAAATCCTCAGAACAGTACCTTTTAAAACTTTGGAACCATTGAGGAGCCACACTTTGAGCCAGAGAGTTTGTAGATTTGGGTGATGGCTCTAGACTGCATCTTGAGAAAGAAGATGAGGAATGGAGTGGACAGACCACCACCTGAAAAAGGTATGAAAACCATATCTGTGTTGGCCATGTTAGAACTAGAACAACAACACTGGCCTTTTCTGCTTTAGCTTGAGTATCACCTTGGATATTACTGGAATCGGTGGAAATGCATATAAGAGATGTCTGTTCCACCAGAACACACAAGCCTCTCCATCACGACATGGTAATGATCCTCGGAAGATCATTAGGAAGAGAGAAAACTTCTGAAATCATTACTGGATCTAGCTCCTTGTCAGAATACGGATCCAATCACGAAACAATGGGTAATATAACCAAACCTGGAATTTGAAGAAGGCGTAATGGTGAAATAGTCTTTCTTGGAGAACTGGTGGAAGTAGTCTCTGGAGACCTATCCAGCACAATGTCTCATCTCATTTGGTTGGGAGAAGAAGAATGAAAGAGATGTACCTTTTCATTAATCTAATTGGAGAACCAGTCAGATCTGTTACGTGTTGCAGATCCACATGAACCTGTGTCATAACTGTAATGGTAGGAAGTAGGAAAGATGAAATAATTGGTTAAGCTGGCTTCTTCTTTGGCTTTATCACCTTAGAACAATTTGGAGATTTTATGTCCTCAGGTCTCAGATCCGTAGCAGGATCCAATGAATTACCAAAGATGTGTTTTAATTTGATGTTTCTTTTCCTTGAAAGCATATTGCTTAGTTCTGGCACGTTATCTGAAGCCTTGGGTTCCTTAGCCAGAACTATCTCAGATGCAGGCTGTATCTTGGAGCTGAAACACTGGATTTAGCTACCAAAATCTCAGTTGGCTTGGAACCAGAGCTCCATGCAAGACCAAACCCTTTACCCTGGTTCTCTTTCGGGAGCCAAAAGTACTCAAAGCCACCTTGGATCCCTTATTTTTTCTTTCAGATCTCTTTGAAGCCTCCAATCCTAGAGGTTGGGCAGACATGGCCTCTTGAGGGCCTGAAGTATATTTTCTCTCTCCTTACTGGCCCAAGTAGTGAACATGCTAAAAACAGCACAATATGAAGGCGAACGTCCTTTCCCATGGCATTTAAGTAACCTGACACATGCATTAGATGCCAGTAAGACTGCAGGACATGATGCACATCTTTTAAAATCATGCTTCATTGTCTTTGGATCTGCAATCAATGCCAGTACCATACCGATGAAGTGGGTATTCACCCACGAAAGTTTATGCTCCAATACGTCTGTTAGTCTATAAGGTGCCACAGGACCCTTTGCCGCTTTTGTAAATATTTTAAGTTAAATACTAATATTATGAACTATAAATCTAGCTAGCTAATCTTATCTAACAACTAATGTAGAGTTAGTAAGCATTCAAAGCTGTGGCTTCAAGAGATCTAGAAAGGTCCACATCCGTCTGACTGCTGTGGGTGAAAGTAACTAAGGTGGCAGCCCTTTTTATAGCCATGCCCTCAGAATATGCTTGAATGCTGAGGGGAGCAATAGGAGGTGTGGGTGAGCACTTTAACAGGTGGTACGATCAGAAGGTTCCACCATCCAAACTGCACTGGTCAGCACATTCCCAGTGTGAGAATATGCAGAGGACACTCAAACAAGAACAGAATTTAAAATGGACACAAATCAGATGTCAAGAATTCTAACATTCATAAACCAGTCGGAGAACACTTCAATCTCTCTGGTCACGCAATCACAGACATGAAGGTCGCTATCTTAAAACAAAAAAACTTCAAATCCAGACTCCAGAGAGAAACTGCTGAATTGGAATTCATTTGCAAATTGGATACTATTAATTTAGGCTTAAAGAGAGACTGGGAGTGGCTAAGTCATTATGCAAGGTAGCCTGTTTCCTCTTGTTTTTTCCTAACCCCCCCCCCCCCCCCCCGCAGATGTTCTGGTTTAACTTGGATTTAAACTTGGAGAATGGTCAGTTTAGATGAGCTATTACCAGCAGGAGAGTGAGTTTGTGTGTGTATGGGGGTGGGGGGGATGTGAGAAAACCTTGATCTATGCAGGAAATAGCCCGACTTGATTATGTAAAGAGTTGTCACTTTGGATGGGCTAGCACCAGCAGGAGAGTGAATTTGTGTGGGGGGGTGGAGGGTGAGAAAACCTGGATTTGTGCTGGAAATGGCCCACCTGTTGATCACTTTAGATAAGCTATTACCAGCAGGACAGTGGGGTGGGAGGAGGTATTGTTTCATGATTTCTGTGTGTATATAAAGTCTGCTGCAGTATCCACGGTAAACATCTGATGAAGTGAGCTGTAGCTCACGAAAGCTCATGCTCAAATAAATTGGTTAGTCTCTAAGGTGCCACAAGTACTCCTTTTCTTTTTGCGAATACAGACTAACACGGCTGTTCCTCTGAAACCTGTCAGAATTTAAAACAGACATTTTCTGAATGCAAATATACTGTGCTTCTATGGTCATTATACTTCTAAACTGTCAAAATATTAAAGATCATCAGAATATTTTAACAACATTTTAAAAGGCTCTTACTGGTACTGCTTCAACACTATCTCAGCATATTTAATTTTCTCAGCCATAGATTTTCTCTCCTTTTCAGCTTCTTCAGTGACTTGTTTTAAAACCTGCTGGATTCTCAGAACTTCCCGATAAACATCATAATATAATTTTGATGCCTGAAAAAGGAAAACAAATATTCTATAAACTGTTTTCATTATGAAATGTAATATTCTAAACACAACTGTTCTCATTCAGTAATCTTCTGACTCACTTATTACTATTTGAAAGTTCGAATGTAGTGCTTTGGGATGTCACAATATTTAGCAATAAAGCACAGAATACCAAATAAGCAATCAGAGTAGAAGACAATGACAAAGCATGTATAAAATCTGATGATATCAAAAAGCCAGTGTTAGCAAGAGGGCTTTCATTTTGTTATAACATTTAGAAGTTATTGTGAAAAGATGGCCACTTGCATAGGAAGACAGAGACCAATGGAGCAGAACACAAAATCTTGGAAGAAGCCACTGAGTATGTACTCAGCAGCCTGACAGAATTATTACTTAAAGGCTCCTGAGGGGCTGTACAAGGCTGACATTCACTTAAGAAACAGAGAGGCCTGAGACAATGATGGAGATTTTCAAAGGCACAAATGAGATTTAAGCACCACATTCTCATTGACTTTCAATAGGAGTTTGGTACATAACTTCCCCCTCTGCCTTCCAAAATCTCCTCCAACAGTTATAGAAATCAGTGATTCACATAATAGAACAAAAATAGGAGTATATTTTAACCTAACGCCCTTATTAACTGCTCAGTCTTTTTCTTTGGGAAATAAAAACAACAACTATATACTCAATATTATCTAATTATTTTTAATTAAAGAGAAAATCAAGTGCCTGCTACAAGTTCCCAAGGCAATGAGGAGGATAAAACCAATAAAATTGGTGGAACCAGTTAATCCAAGCATCTGAATTAGAGCACAATTTAAATGTTGAATATTTTTTGTTTTAATATCTAATAACTTTTTAAAGAGGAAATATGTGAATGAGTTACCACAAGAAATGACCTATATTCTTATTATGCAATGTAGTGTTACACTACTTCTATGATGAGATTTTGCATTATTTCATTTAGTAATGGAAAGAAAAAAAAAATCAGTACTGGAAAAAGTACTAATTTAAAATTGCTTTGGTAAAAGTCTATTTCATGAATTGTATTTCAGATCATTTTGAAATTTTCACTGCATCAAATATATCCCAAGGCAACAAGAAGAATGGAAATAAAAAAATAAGTAGAAGAAAAAGTTAACAGCCTGACCTTTAATTAGCCACTATTTTGAAAATACCCTATCTGCTGATATAACAAAAATGTTAGTCTTTAAAAATAGAACATCTACTAAACTCACAGTCAGATACAACCTATGTACTTATCAACAAATATCACCCAGGCTTTATAAAAGAATTTAAAAGAGAGGAGTTTGCAGGAGTACCAGTAGTTATTCAGGTGTATGTGTATACACACACACACACACATATAAAGTGATGATATACTTGTTAATGTTGATTTTTATTTTAAAAGAAAGAAAATGGATCAATAGCAAATTTGTTTAAGATCATCATGCTATTTGTAAAGCTCTCTCATATGCATTTTTCCCCTTTTATTACGACACATTTGTGTATTTTGATATGTAATTATTGACTTCTCAATTAAAAATGAGCAGAATTTTAAAAAATATTAACAGGGTTTATTAACGACAACATTGAAGGTTATTCTAAGCCCAATGTTTTATTCTACAACAGAGACAATCTTTAGGAGAAGTTGTTAATAGTGATCACAAAAAAGTTCAATCTCTGGATTTCGTATCAAAATTTACAATATGCAAAATAAATATTACTGTAAGTAGATCTGGTAGCTACACCTGCAATTAAGGTTTCCTAACACTTTTCATCATAAGTCCCTATTTTCAGCTGCTCATAATTTTGCCAGACTTTAACTGGACTGAAATTTTTCATGCTGGGCATTAGCTGCTTCAGTGAATGAGACTAGAGAAAAATACATTGCTTTTCCCATGTGTGATTGTGGTCTTCAGGGTCCAATACAAACTACAGTGCAGACTCAGGTAGGGTGCAAAAGTCCAGAGAGTTTACTGAAGCAGTTTCCCACAGCCCACCTTGACAGGGGTTCACTGCAGAAGTCTCATTAGGCCCCACAGGTATGTTCCAGGCAGCACAGACAGCCCAATAATCTATAGGCCCCTATCTATCTATCTATCCCAGACAGCCCAACAGTCCCTTTTGTCGTAAAGCAAAGAAATAGTGCCAAAAACAGACTCAACAGTCCTATGTCGGGCTCACCTTCCTCTGGAGAGCTCTGGCTGTGCAGAGGTTCTGGGCTGGTCCTTTCCTCAGGGAGCAAAGGATAAGAGATTTACTCTCCTCCCTGAGCATCCCACTAGTGAGCTGTCCTCATCCCCTCTTACCTTCCCTTTCATTACCTGACAGCAAGAGTAGGTGTAGCTGGGCAGGGTTGAGTGTGCCTGCAGCAGCTCATTAACCTTTGCTGGTGCAGTGTGAGATTGGTATACCTAATCACACCATGTTAAAAAAAAAAAATCTTACAACCTTTTCTTTGTTTTGGGGCAGGGCCTTGAAATTTGACAGGGAGATATGCCTTTTGCTGTTCCTGTGAAAATCCTCCATATTTGGCCAACTTTATAAGCCTCTGAAAATTAAAATTCACACATGCTCAGTAGAAGTTTATTAGAATTCGACAGCATTATTCTCCAAAGATTCTGTCCACACTGAGCATGCTGCATCCCCATACAGCTCCAATATGATGACTGTGCTTAGCATGCTCCATCTGCAGAGAGCGACATAGTACTGCCTTGAATAATAGTTAGTCCTGCCTTGAGTGCAGGGGACTGAACTAGATGACCTCTTGAGGTCCCTTCCAGTTCTATGATTCTATGCTCCATTCTGGGGCTGGGAAGGATTATCCCTCTCAACTGCTCCTCCCAGCTGCTGTGGCACTTGGCATAGGTACTGAGACGAGGGAGACTCTGTCATGTGTTCTTAATGTTTGTGCTGGTGGTGGTGCCCAGGCAGCAAAGAAGAAGAGGAAGAAGCTGTCTGACTCAAATGGTTGAGAAGAAGAGGGAGGATAGGGGAAGGAGCTGAAGGATTATGGAACACAATTGTGAAGCTTCATTAAGTCACAGGCTGACATATCTAAATCCATGTTCAATGGTTATGTTATAACCTAGGATCTCCAGAGATGCTATAAATTACTGTTGTTCCATCTGAATGTCCCATTCTCCACTTCAGTGGTGCTCCTTGCTGGTACAGGGGTCCACCTGCATGGGTGTCAATGCTGTAAGGCTTAAGGCAGTAATATGAGTGTTAACTAATTCCTCTCTGAATAATTTCTCTAACATATTCACAACATTTGAAATAGCTAACATAAAGCTAAGGAAACTTTTCCCACCCATATTAGAAGATTTTTCATTGACATTAAAAGGTAAAGCTATCTCTTGCAAGTCCAGTGACTTTAGTAATTCAGAAGTTGGGCTTTATATATCATGAGCTATCTGCAAGCAGCACAAAATAAGTCGTAAAATTCTCTGCAGAAGCTCACTAATATGAGGTCTTCTTGGAATTCTAATGCACAGGCACTTATGGCAGCTATGGAAATAGAAAAGGGCTAAACTTTTTCACATGGATTTTATGGAGAAAAAATATCAGTACTATTCACACATCCAACAGTGGAACAACAACTAAAATTTGGAAACTGGAAAACACTGAAAGATAATTAACTAGATAAGCTTAATGATTAAAGAGAAAATTACTGAAACACTGACTGCAGACAAACACAGGATGATAGTATAAAATGTTTTGTTGAATTTTCCAGGTAAATATGTTTCCACTGTTTCTGGAACTTCATAAATTTGTTTTTAATCATATTAATACTGCAAGTACCATTAAACATTTGAGAAAGAGCCACATCTTTAGATGTAAAATCAGTAGCCTGAATTCCTCTGTATCACATTTAAAAGAAGTAATTACAAATGTATACTCCAATATGTTGTAATGCTAAAAATAAACAATTTTTATAAACTTTTCTTTTTGGGTTACAAAATGTGAAGAATGAACACTATTAGTTATAGATGCATTTTACAAAAACTATTGATAAGGATCACTAAGGCACATTAGAACTAATGTAAGCAGAAAACTCCTGTATTTAGTGCACCTCCAAGGTTCCCATCCTTTGCATGCAGTATATGGAACAGCACTTTGGCATTGGCAACAGATGGCAATTCTAAAAGTGCATGCCCCTAATTAGCAGAAAGATTTTAGTAAAAATATCCCTACATCATTACTATTTACCTTTCCATGTGCCAGCAATACAGCCTTCATAGCGTCACCCTCAAGATTCAGCTTTTCTTCCAGCAGAGGGCTGTATTTCTTCACAAAGTCTATATCCTCCTGAATCCTTCCATTAACTGCCTCTGTCTTAAGTATTTGGACTTTTACCTGTTGTAGCTGACGATTTGCACAGTCAAAATGCCACTGTAGTTCTGAGAAATCTTGAGTACAAATCTCATGTTCTGTTAAAAAAAATAGTGAGCCAAGTAGTATAAAAACATGAACATTTGAGTAACATTACACATATTTAATGAGCTTATAAAATATGTTGCTAAAATAATTGCAAATATTTTATAAACAGTTTGCTGTAAACCCTACTTTTTAAGGGTCAATAAGGGAACATGCATTACAAAACACATTACTAAAAGTTTTATTAAATGAAGAGCTGTTCAAATATGTTGCTTAATAATACCCAGTACATTACACTAGCAATCCTGTAAACTGAAAAGTGGTTTACAAGGAAGGAAAAGTGAATAAGAGAGCAGGTCTTGTTTGTCTGGAGCTCACTGCCTAGTCTAAGAATTTTTGACAGCTTTGAGAGTCTCTCTTATTGTACACTTTGGCTAAACATTAGTTACATATATCCTTAAATCCAAAATTAGATATATTGGGGAAAGCCATGTGACTAGTTTTCAATGTATCTACTTGTAGTAGGCAAGTGGGAGACACCACAGATTTGGTTTATTTAACATCCTACACATATGCACATCATGTGTCACTTGAAAGCTTATTACGTCTACTTTTAGATAAAGTATGATGTGGAGCTGTCAAGTGATCTCAATACCATAGAAACAGGGATAAACAATGACATCAACAAGTTAAAAATTTAATGACCACTTTGAAATATTTGCATTCATTTTGGGTTAATGACTGTTTCAAGACATAAAATTGGATTTATTTGTGACCTCAAAACATCACAACAACAATCTAAAGGGTAAAACAAAATCTTCTAATAAACTTGTACAGGTATCATTGAAATGTAACAGCACTGGTGACATTTCCAATCATCATCATCATCTTTTCCATCATTATGATCTCTGTTAAGAACACATAGGTTACCACAGTCTTCATTGCCTTGGCACGTACACCGTTCTGTGCAGGGAAGATCGTTCTGACTACAGGCACAGTTGACTGGGCAGTTACCATTACTTATATAGGCAGAAATAAGGTCTTGTAGAAGCTCAGATGCCACTAGGCCATTGAAGAATACAAAAGTAGTTCATCATGCACATTTTTCCATCCAGGTTGCAATGGGTAAACCAGATATTGGCTTACTATGTGCAAAGACATTCACATCTTTGTTTGCCAACCTTCTCTTATTACAAATCTTAAAAACTGTCCCCACTTCTTGTTAGGCCTCTTCTTTCTCTCATAGCTTTTACATATTCACTCAGGACATGTCTTGTGAGGGCTCATCTGACAGATGCTGGCTTCTTTCTTGTCAGTCCTACAATCCCACTGCTGCCCTTTCAGTCTTTGATTATCGTTTTCTCTGTTCCCACACCACCCCAAATTCCAGTGAAAGAACAAGTTGTCTGATGCACAGCAAATTTCCCAGCTTCAAAGGCACTGTGTACTTTTTCATGGACATTTTACATATTAAGATTGTAGCTTGGTAGCTACCTGGCATAGCTGGGCCAATTTGCAGTAAAGAAGTATGCAAGCATGGCATGCTGTGTGTGTAGGTGAAGTTTCCAATCACCCTCTTGCTCTGCATGGATATTTAGAATACCTACATAAAGTAGACAAAATGATCCCAGAACTTGAATGTAGGAGACTGGCCATACCCCCATGTTCAAAATTCCACCAATAATGCTGAGTTACAGCATACTCAAACTCTTTAATGACATGTTGTGAGAACACAGCGTTAGCCAACATTTGCCAGACAAATGCTGGATCTACACAACTATCTCCTCCCTGCTCACACCATTTAACAAATGAATAAAGTTTCAGATTACTTAGGGCCTCAGATACTAGAGTCAAGCCACACGGAGCATGGTTGAATTGCATTCCAGTAAGCACTGGATCTGCAGTACAAGCTGCATACGCATCTGAGTCAACAAGTAGGTCTAGCAAGCCAGTATTTCCTCAGATTTCCCAATACATGCAAAAAACACCATAAGTTGTGAAAGCCACCCAGGTGAATGACACTGGTACCAAGTTCCTTTTGGAGCGTCCTTTTCACTTGCTGAGCAACAGCACATAGCTGCTGATCCATTGTCTGAACAGCATGCTGCTGTCCAAGAGCTGCTGACATTTCCTTACATTTCAGCATTATAATAAAGATGGTGGCCATGGCAGGTGGCTTGGCATCCACAATAGATGCATATGCAACTGCTGTGTAGGTGCTCTTCTTTGTTGCAAGCTTGTGGTTGAAACCAGTCCAAAATGGAATTGCCTGAGTATGAACAATATCAACATCATTTGGTATTGATAGGACATCACAAGCTAGAAGTCTTAAAAGACTCCAGGAGAGATCTCAGATAGTGTTCACTTGTAGGTGACAAGAGTTTATTTTCTCAAGTACTTTCTCATGGCAAGTCATTTCTGGTTTTCCAAAGGCTGTGCACTGCATAAGAGATTCTGATTGCCCAGGAAGAGTAAGTGACTTTTCTTTCCCACACTTCAGTGATATTTCTTGTGATGCTGGATTATTTGCAGGCTGTTCTCGAAATTCCACTCTAGCCATGGAATGGAAGGTATTCTTTCCATCAATGATCTCTTCGCAGATGTCTATATTATCATCTCCTTCATGGATGAGATTTTCACAAGCATGAAGTGGTACAATTCTATTTGGAATGAACATACCTCCCTGAAGACTGTCTACTTCAGACTTTGCAGCATTAGTGATGTACTGCCACAGCTCATCATAGTTGATTCAGAATCCATGAAGGTGTAGTATGTCAATTAAATTGAGAGACCTAAACTCATGGTGTAGCTGTACAGAAAGGCTTATGTGCAGTGGTGTGATAATATTGGAACTGTTAAATTTCATTCACTCTGTAACTGAGAGGCACCTTCTTTGAATGTCTTCTGAAGGATAATACTCATTGCTGGTTGAATTATATGCTTCTTTATCAACCAAAGGACAAACTCCTGCACAAACTGAGGTACAAAAGTAGCTGACCTCTGTAAAATACAATCACCTAGTTTTGGATAACAATCTGAGGCTTTCATTTTGTCTATTTCAGTCCAAAGAATTGAAGTGGCATTATACAAAACCACGAGTTCATTTGAAAGCTGTTCATCAGGCTTACGGGCCAGAAGAACATCCACAGAATATTTGGATGCCTTAAATTCCTGCTTCAGATTACTAGCAGCTTAGATAATATCAGCTAATATGATTATGCTGCTGTCATAAATATAAAGGGAAGGGTAACCACCTTTCTGTATACAGTGCTATAAAATCCCTCCTGTCTAGAGACAAAATCCTTTCACCTGTAAAGGGTTAAGGTAACCTTGCTGGCACCTGACCCAAAATGACCAACGAGGGGACAAGATACTTTCAAATCTGGAGGAGGGGGAAAAGGTTTTTGTCTGTCTGTGTGATACCTTTGCCGGGAACAGATCAAGGATGCAAGCTCTCCAACTCCTGTAGAGTGAGTAAGTAATCTAGCTAGAAAATATGTTTGGTTTTCTTTGTTTTTTGGCTTGTAAATTCACTGTGCTGGAGGAAATGTGCATTCCTGGTTTTGTGTCTTTTTGTAACTTAAGGTTTTGCCTAGAGGGATTCTCTATGTTTTGAGTCTCACTGCCTGTAAGATTATCTTCCATTCTAATCTTACAGAGATGTGCTCTTATCTTTTTTGTTCTTCTAATAAAGTTCTGATTTTTAAGAATCTGATTGGGTTTTTGGGTCTTAAAAATCCAAGGGGTTTGTGCTCATCTTGTTTATTCTCAACCCTCCCCAGGAAAGGGTGTGTAAGAGCTTGGGGGATATTTTGGGGAAATAGGAACTCCAAGTGGTCCTTTTCCCTGGTTCTTTGTTGAAGCACTTGGTGATGGCAGCGTTTTACCTAATCCAAGGGCAAAGACTTTGTGCCTTGGGGAATTTTTAACCTAAACTGGTAGAAATAAGCTTAGGGGGTCTTTCATGCAGGTCCCCATATCTGTACCCTAGAGTTCAGAGTGGGGAAGGAACCTTGACAGCGGCACAGAACAATGGTAGATTTGCCTTGGCCATGCTGTCCATGCAATGAAATTGCAGAACCATAGCGTTATTCTAATCTTGCCTGTAATTTGCTACTGGAATAGCTTCCGTTTCTACAACTTAGGGAAATAGGGCTTTATATCTTTGTAGCAGCTTGGACAGGAGAAGAGCCTTCTTATTGTACAAAAGATCATTGTCTCTCTCTCCAATAAATGGACACAAATCAGATGTCAAGAATAACAACATTCATAAACCAGTCGGAGAACACTTCAATCTCTCTGGTCACTCTATTACAGACCTAAAAGTCGCAATATTACAACAAAAAGACTTAAAAAACAGACTCCAATGAGAGACTGCTGAATTGGAATTAATTTGCAAACTGGATACAATTAACTTAGGCTTGAATAAAGACTGGGAGTGGGTGGGTCATTACACAAAGTAAAACTATTTTCCCATGTTTATTTCTTCCCCCCCCCAACTGTTCCTCAGACATTCTTGTCAGCTGCTGGAAATGGCCCACCTTGATTATCACTACAAAAGTTTTTTTCCCCCCGCCCCCTCCCCCCACTCTCCTGCTGGTATTAGCTCATCTTAAAAAAGTGATCACTCTCCTTAGAGTGTGTATGATAACACCCATTGTTTCATGTTCTCTGTGTATATAAATCTCCCCACTGTATTTTCCACTGAATGCATCCGATGAAGTGAGCTGAGGCTCACGAAAGCTTATGCTCAAATAAATTTGTTAGTCTCTAAGGTGCCACAAGTACTCCTTTTCTCTCCAATCAGATGATAAAATGCAATGTCATGAGGTAACTGTAATATTGCAGTGTAACTAGATGATTTTGCTTTAAGATTCATTTTACTCAATTAGGAAGAAAAGCACACTGTGGGATAAAATGCATCCTAAGCAATCAAGTCTTCCACCAATATTCTGTGCAAAATGTCATCATCTCTTCTTTGAAATGCCGTCTCCTTTTAATCAGTTGCGCTCTCAAATGTTTGTATTTTATGAAGCTTCTTATCCTTTTTGTG